GGGTTTTAGAGACAGCGAAGGGAGAGTGGATTTCAAGACTGTAGAGATTACCAAGCAAAGATTAAGTGAATGGTGGCAGAAATCGAGAGAAAACTAGGTATTTTCTTATCCACTGATGGCAAGGGGGTTTCATAGCCTCACTTTCTTTGCACTGCGGAGTGAATATAGATTTCACATTTAAATATTCTAAGCTTAAATGGTAAAACAAAATGGCTAGGTGGCGTAAGCTACCGCCCGATCCAAAGGACTCAGCCGTATTCATCCATCCATCCATCCATAAAATGTGTCTTCGCCATATTAAGTTTGTTCTTTCTGTGCTGTTGCTCTGCGTGGGAGCTTCTGTTCTTTGGCGCTTCGGCGCGACACAACAATGGCAACGAGGCTCGGATGGGAGATCGAACGAACCGAGTAACAACGTGGCAAACGGCACAATGCCGAAGTTCACGGAGTTCAAGCCGGAGGAGGACGACGTCGACGAATATCTCGGACGCTTCGAGATTTTCCTTCGAGTGAACGCTGTCAAGACGGAAGACAAGGCCGTGACGCTGCTGAACTGCATCAAGAAAGCGTTGTACCAGGTTCTGAAAACCTTGCTCGTCCCAGACTCGCCGGTATCGAAATCGTACGACGTACTTTCCGAGTGTTGAAACGCCACTACGCGCCCAAGCGCCTAGTGATTGCAGAGCGCACGAAGTTCCATTGGAGAAATCAAGAGGTCGGCGAGAGCCTAGCGGACTTCTCCTTGGCTATCAAGAAGCTCGCCCAGACATGCGCGTTCAAGGACTACCTCGACCAGGCTCTTCGGGACCGGCTCGTGGCGGGGTGGCGGGGTGTCGCGACCCTGAGGTACAGCGGACACTCATCCAGCTCGACGACGATTACATCGACGAAGTTCTAAAGGTGGGCCTGGCCAAAGAACTTTCTCTGCGCAAAACGGACGAGATACGACAGCCCGGCGTTCCGGACTCAATGGACGTGCACCGCGCTCAAGGTGATGGTGGAGGACACTCCGGGTGTCCACCTTCCGCCACTGCATCGAAACAGGTCCAGTATCAGCGTACGGTAGGCCATTGTTTTAGATGCGCCAGTACCGTGCATGCTTCCGAAAAGTGTCCGTTTTCGAAAGCAAAGTGTTCCAAATGCGGGAAGCAGGGGCACACTAAGGCGGTGTGTAGGGCCAAGCCTAAGCCTACTTCGAACACCAAGCGCGGACCTTGGAGCGTAACCTGTATGCGGAAGAATGACGCGTCTGCGGCATTCCAGAAGGTTTTAGAAATCGAAGGAAAACCGGTGACGATGGAAATCGACACTGGTTCAGCAGTTACTTTGATGCCAAAAAGAATGTATGTGAATTTTTTTTCTCACGTGCCCCTTGAGGCGAGTGACATGCGTCTCCGAACGTACACCGGGGCTCTAGTGCCAATCAAGGGTGTAGCGAGCGTTAATGTAAAGAACGGGGAGCTACCTAGCGAAAAGTTACCTTTGATTGTGGTAAAGTCCGCGAATGCCCAGCTGCCAGCTCTTCTAGGCAGAGACTGGATGGAGCAGTTAGAAATTAACTGGTCGGGCGTAGGTCGTATTGAGAACGAGACGATGACAGACTTGCTGAAAAGGTCGTTCCCTAGCGTCTTTGAAGGTCCAGTGGGGCCGATAAAGGGTTTTCAGGCAAGGATTGTACTGAAAGAAAACTCTCAACCGGTGTTTTGTAAACACAGAGTGGTGCCATACGCATTCAGAGAGCAAGTAGAGAGTGAGCTTGAGAAAATGGTGGCGCAGGGCATTTTGAGGCCTGTAAAAAGTAGTGAATGGGCAACACCCCTTGTTGTGGTTCCCAAGCCAGGGGGTAAAGTTCGCATCTGTGGTGACTACAGTGTGTCCGTAAACCCACAGGTGACGGTGGATCACTACCCATTACCGAGGGTAGATGAGGTGTTCAACAACTTTCGGGGGTGTGGCATCTTTGCTATTTTGGATCTAAAGACTGCATACTTGCAGTTAGCCCTTGACGAAGCTTCGCGGAAACTGCTCACAGTGACCACTCACCTAGTATTGTTTGAGTTTTTACGTATGCCTTACGGAGTCTCGAGCGCACCAGAAATTTTCCAGAGTGTAATGGATAAAATTTTGTTGGGCCTAACCAAGGTAGCGTGCTATCTTGATGATGTACTGGTGGGTGGCGTAGACCAAAATGACTGCAACCAGAGAGTCTTGGAAGTGTTGAAACGCTTTCAGGAACATAGCCTTTGTGTGAATCAGGACAAGTGTCAATTTTTTGTACGCGAAGTGCGTTACTTGGGATACTTGTTGAGTGACCAGGGTTTAAAGCCATGCCCTGAGAAGGTAGAGGCTATCAAAGAGGCACCCGCACCGAGTAACGTGACGGAGGTTAAGGCATTTTTGGGGCTGCTAGCTTTTTATGCTCGTTTCCTCCCAGACTCAGCTGCCACACTGGGACCTTTGTATGAACTCTTAAAGAAAGACAAGAAGTGGCATTGGTCGGAAGAATGCCAACAGGCTGTAGACAGAAGCAAAGATCAGTTGTGCAGTGCTGGGGTAATTGTCCTCTACGACCCTAGTCTACCACTTCGAGTGACGACCGACGCATCCAGCTACGGCCTCGGAGCGGTCTTAACACAAGACATGGGAAACGGGGACTACAGACCTGTGGAGTTTGCGTCTAGGACGCTTACTGTGGCTGAAAAGAACTACGCACAAGTGGAAAGAGAGGCCTTGGCACTCATATTTGCGGTCAAGAAATTCCACCGGTATCTCTTTGGGCGTTCGTTCACCCTCGTAACTGACCACTACCCGCTAACGTCGATCCTGGGACCTAAGTATCCTACCACAGCCATAGCTGCTGCGAGGATCCAGAGGTGGCACTTGTTACTTGCAGAGTACAACTTCAAGATCCTGTACCGCAAGGGCGGGGAGCTCGGGGATGCTGATGCCTTATCGAGACTTCCTCTGAAAACAACTGTAGGAGAGGAAAGTATGTTGAAATATTTTTCACCCACAGAGAAACCGCTTCTTTCAAGTTCTGATGTGGGGAAAGAGACCCTCAGCGACCCCTTGCTGCAACGTGTCCTTGAACACACCAAGAGAGGTTGGCCAACATCCGTGCAAGATCCAGGGTTGCAACCCTTCTGGCACAGGCGGGAGACGCTGTCAACGGACCAAGATTGCCTACTCTGGGGGATTAGAGTCGTGATTCCACAGGCACTACAGGCTGCGGTCCTCAAGAGCCTGCATGAAGAACATCCAGGAATGGTGCGTATGAAACAACTTGCGAGAGGGCATGTGTGGTGGCCCGGAATCGATGCCATGATCGAGAACAAGGTGCAGTCATGCGAGATCTGCCAAGCGGTCCAAAACGACGTTCTTCCAGTACCACTCCAGCCATGGAAGATGACCTCGCGGGTCTTTGAACGTGTTCATTTGGACTTTGCAACCAAGTCGGGAACCAACCCGTTTGTTTTGGTTGACAGTTTTTCTAAATGGGTTGAGGTCCTGCCCATGTCTTCCACAACCGCACCCCAGACAGTCGAGAAACTTATGGCTGTCTTCGCACAGTTTGGACTACCCGAAAAAGTGGTGACTGATGGAGGCTCCCAGTTTCGAAGTGAGGAGTTCAAGAACTTCTTGAAGGATCAAGGAGTGGTGCACACCATGACGCCACCCTACCACCCGGCTTCGAATGGCGCCGCGGAGAGGGCTGTGCAAACAGTCAAGCGAGCGCTGCTCAAGCAGGTACTTGAAGACGACCTCCAAGGGAAGAGAAGGAATATCCATGAGAAGTTGTCGTGTTTCCTACTTGTCTACCGGACGACACCACACACAAGTACTGGAAAGGCACCTGCAGAGTCCTTCCTGGGACGGCTTCCGCGGACCCGACTGTCGCCGCTCAAGCCAGGTGCAACGTCTTTTCCACGACGAGAGAAGCAAAACAAGAGAAAGGAGCTGGCTGACAAGCGCAGAGGTCCAACGAAACTCTTTCAAGTGGGCGACAGAGTTTGGGTCAGAAATGTGAGGGGGGAGAGAGTAAACTGGACCAAAGGCATTTTAAAGAAAGTAATAAGTCCGGTTACATACCTGGTGTGGGTGGCTAGCCAGATTCGTTATGTGCATGCTGATCACTTGCGCTTTCGAAGTGAGGGCTCGTCCCGGTCAGCCTCTTCGGAGAGTGGATCGAGTGACAGTGAGAGTGTTGATGAACCGGGCGAATGTGAGGTGCCTATGCCACTGAATGCTGGCAGTGGCCTAGCTGCTCACGAAGTTCGACGGTCGAGCAGAGCTCGACGCCCTCCAAATAGACTGGTGTACTAGTGTTCCTTTATGTAAGTGTGGAGGAGTGTTGTGTATGTATAAAGCAATGTCACAGGTTTCTATTCTCACCACCAGGGTGCGCTGGTCTTTGCCCTGTAAAATGTGTCTTCGCCATATTAAATTTGTTCTTTGTGTGCTGTTGCTCTGCGTGGGAGCTTCTGTTCTTTGGCGCTTCGGCGCGACACAACAACGGGGTCAGGAGGTTTCTGGGCCTGACAGGATTTTTCATATGGCTCATTCCCCACTATGCCCTGAGGGCAGAACCTCTTACTCGTCTGACTAAGAAAGACACAAAGTTTACATGGGGAGTAGAGCAACAGGAGGCTTTCCACCAGCTCCGAAAGGAACTAACAGAACCCCCGGTACTGAGGTTGTACGAACCTTCGGTCCCAACTGAACTCCATACGGACGCAAGCCTGCATGGACTTGCGGGAACGATTCTTCAGCAAGACGAGTCAGGACGCTGGCACCTGGTGTTTTGTGTTAGCAAGCGCACCACTGATGCTGAGAATTACCATGCAGGAAAAGTAGAGCTCATGGCAATAGTCTGGACTATGGAAAGACTTCGTCCATTCCTTCTAGGGATTCCTTTCACGCTGGTAACAGATTGTCATGCGATTGTGTACCTAAATGCACACAAGACTCTTAAACCACAAATAGCAAGGTGGTTTGACTTACTACAGGAGTATGACTTCAAGATGAAGCACCGTGCAGGTGAGAAAATGGCTCATGCGGACTACCTGAGTCGTGAACCTGTAGAGCCGTCGGAGGACACCCTTGATGAGGTCGTCGAAACCAGACTTGAAGTGTGCCTCACCTTAGGTTTAGAAGACCAAGTTGTGATCATCCAGAGATCTGACACGGACTTGGCTAACCTCGCACAGGTTCTCGAAAAGCCAATCAAGAAAAAGGGCCAAAGAGGAAAGTGTCAAGGTCAATAAGAACCTACGACTGAAGGATGGAAAGCTGTTTTACGTGGAGGAAGACGGACGACTCCTTTTCGTGATGCCTAAGAGCATACGTACAACACTGTGTAAAATTTCACGACTTGCAGGGAAATTTTAGCACAGACCGAACTGTGTCGAAAATCAAGGAACCCTATTGGTTTCCTCGGATGAAGCGCTGTGTGCACCAGCACATCCGTAGGTGTTTCGAGTGTCTGATCACAAAGGTACCAGAAGGGAAGAAGCCTGCACGTCTGCACTTTATACCGCCTGGGAAGAGGCCATTTCAAGTTCTACACGAGGACCATGTTGGTCCGTTTGTGAGAAGTTCCAAGATAACCAGTGGATCTTGGTGCTGATGGACAGTCTGACCAAGTTTGTACGCCTCTACTCTGTGCGAGACACTTCGGCAAGGAATGTACTGCGTTGCATGCAGAGTTTTATCACAGAGTTTGGACTGCCGGAACGCATCATTTCGGACCGTGGTTCCTGTTTCACATCACACAGCTTCGAAGCCTTCCGCCAGGAATATGGTGTGGCTCACACACTGAACTCATCACACCATCCAAGGGCTGACGGCCAGGTAGAGTGAGTGAACCGAACTTTAGTACCGTGCATTATGGCTACAATCGAGGACCCAGCTCACAAGGACTGATCAGAAGATCAAGGAGGTAGAGAGCTACCTGAACACAGCATATAATGCCTCAGCAGGCACTAGTCCCTTCAGGCTTCTGCATGGATATCAACCAAGGATGCAAGACAGTGTCCTCAGATTGCTAAACACAGAGGGTGATGAGTGGGTGTGTCCAGAGCAACTTCAAGAGACGGCTCAAAATGACATAATTACCCAGCAAGGAAAGTCAAAGCAGTACTTCGACCAGTATCACTTCGCAGCGGAAGGACTGAGCATTATAGACGTAGTGGTCATGCGCTGCGTTCCAGAGCACAGCGGCGTCTCATCAAAAACCCAGAAGAAGTTTAGAGGCCCACTGACTGTGACGGAAGTACTCCCAGCGGACACCTAAAGAGTGACCGAGAGGAATGAAAAGAAGGGGGTCTACTCAACAACCGCCCACACCAGGCAACTGAAGAGATGGGGTGAAAGATGCCAAGAACCGTGCGACCAATCAAGCACCGACGAAGAAGACAGCGTGCCGGAACGTAGCGCAAGTGTGCCCAAAATACCTTCATACCTTGGGGACTACGCCACATGAACTCAGGACAGTTCGCTGCCAGGAATAACTAAATTCGAAAACGAAGGGAGCAACATTGGGCAGAGAGTCAGGGACCCGGAAAAAAGATGGCGGCATGCAAGTGTGCGTTCGCCGCACGTGTAACTTTAAATGTTATTTTTCCTGTATTGAAGTTTTTAATTTTCCTAAAAGTTTGTAAATCATATAAAATAGCGGAACAGAAAGACAAGGACAATAAGTATACAGGACAGGCGCCTGTCTTGTATACTTCTTGTCCTTGTCTTTCTGTTGCGCTATTTTATATGATTTACTAAGATTTATTTTTTTATTTATTTATAAATACTGTTAACCCTTGCCAGGGTCATTACAGAGAGGGAAAAACAACAAAACACATTACCTAACATCTTTCACAACAACAGTACACGTCAAGTAGGCTCTCAAATTCACGAACATTTTCCCTGTCAACAATATAACTAGGCAATGCATTCCAGGACTCAATCACATCAGGAAAAAATGAGTATCGAAAAACATCAACACGGGCATTGAACGGCTCAATGGCTAGGTTGTGATTTAATCGGTCACTTCGTTTACATGGTAGTTTTACATAGCTGTCCTTATTAATCTTAATTTGTCCATGGATGAGTTGAAAAAACAATATCAGTCGATGTTTTTGTCTCCTTGTCTAGGCTAGCTCTAAGTCGCATGAGTCTAACATTGATGTAACTGAATCTGTCCATTTATATTTAGCACAAACAAAGCGGACAGCTAATCTTTGAATTCTTTCTAATTTGGACTTCTAGACTTTCTGATGTGGACTCCAGACAGCCGATGCATATTCTAGAACTGACCTCACGAATGTTTTGTAGGCAATTAACTTAACGTTCTTTGTTGCGTTGTGCAATTTTTTCCTTAAGAAGTACAATTTCTTTGAAGCCTAAGAGCACACGTTTTCCACATGTTTTCGCCAGTTTAGATCATGGGTCATGGTCACTCCTAAATATTTAAAACTATTTACACTGTTCAAGACGTTATTTCCAATGTTATACCTAAAACAAAGTGCACTCTTTTTTGTAGTTATGTGAGTAAATGTGGATTTAGTATAGTTAATTTCCATGTCCCACTTTTCACACCACATGTTCAAAGCCTGAAGGCTACGATTGATTTTAATTTGCTCATTCACATTTGTGACTACCGAATAAAGTAAACAATCGTCGGCAAAAAGCTTAATTTCTACGCCTGGCTCTACAATGCTAGCAATATCGTTGATGTACAACAAAAATAATAAGGGTCCCAACACAGATCCTTGTGGGACACCAGAAAACACCTCCAACGAACAAGACATACAATCGTCAACACGCACCACCTGCCTGCGATTGATCAAATAAGCCTCAATCCATTCTAATATTGTAGAGCTAATACCGATTTGTTGAAGTTTGAAGAGTAGTTTATTATGAGAAACCTTATCAAAAGCTTTTTGCGAAGTCTATACAAATAACATCTATCTGCCTCTGGTCGTTTATTGCTAACGAAACATCGTGAATAGTTTCGATTAGCTGCGTAACAGTGGAAAGATTGCTTCGAAACCCGTGTTGATGCGGGTAAAGCAACTGGTTCTCTTCAAGAAAGATAATAATATGTTTTGCTACATTGTGCTCCAGAAGCTTACATGACACAGAGGTAAGAGACACGGGGCGATAATTATTCACGATTGCTCGGACTCCGTTAAAAATAGGTATTACGATTGCACTACGCCAATCTTGTGGTAGTGAGTGAGTTTGCAAAGATTTCTGAAAGATAGCTTCTAGATAAAATGACACCCACTCGGCATATCGTTGCAAAAATGCAGTCGGTATTTCATCAGGCCCACTAGCCTTCTTTACATCCAACTCTAGCAACTGCTGAAATACGCCCAGCCGAGTTATTGAAAAATCTTCCATGCAGCACGGGAATGAATTAAATTGTTCACCGTCATAGCTATTACCATTGTCTTTCGAAAAAACAGACTGAAAAAATTCATTGAAGCAGTCTGCTATTTCCTTCCGTTCTGTAACCATCTTGGTTGCGGTTTGAACATGATCGATGCTTTCTTTCTTCTCACTAAAAAAACGCCAAAATTTTTCTGGCGATGTTTTCAGGAAGTTGCCAAGTCTCCAATTAAAGAACTGTTGCCTAGATTCATTTAATGCGGTTTTTAAATTACGACGGACCTGAGATATCTGGTCTTTACTATCTTTTCTTTTCCGTAATCTATTTATTTTACGCTTCATGTGAATAATCTTACGATTGATCCACGGGTTTTGTTGTTTTGTTTTTTTAAAGCGAGTCGGAATAAATCTGTTTACACAATGATTTATAACTCCTTTAAAACGCTGCCACAGTTCCTCCACGGACTCACAATCGCAGGCAAGCTGGAACTGGCTAAATGAACATTCCAAAAAATCGATTACAGAAGTGTCATCCGCTTGAACATAATCTTTGATTGGAATAGGAACAAAGGGTCGCTTACGATTTCCTATACTATGCAATATGTCCATAGCAATCATCTTATGATCTGATATTCCTTCTTCAACGGATAGTGTGTAATCACCCACTCTCTGGGATATAAACAACAAGTCCAACAGTGACCGGGACTCAGGAGTTACTCTCGTTTCCTCGTTCACAATTTGCTTTAGATTGTGAGAAATCAATATTTCCAACAATATTTCAGCACTGGAAGTCTCCACGTGCCCAGGGGACAAAGCTTCCCAATCTATGTGAGGTAAATTCAAGTTACCGGTCAGTATTAATCTTGTAGTACTGTTCACATGAGCGCACAAGAACAAATTCAACTTATCCAAAGATGAACCAACTAGCCCAACAACGTACCCTACTAAAAGTTTGTTGAATCGGAGGAAGGCCAACACGTCGTAGTGCCCCCCTTCCCCCCCCAAAAAAAGGAGGTTAGTGACTAGCTGTCGACGACCATCATCTAAATGCTAATACAAATGTGCCCGTCTACCTAATGCCAATGACGGACTGGGTGTTAGCCGAGCTAAGAAGGGCAAGGTGGTTCACAAGTTATAATTTGTCTATGTGCTTTCTTTAGATCCAGCGAGGACGTACCCAAGACGGCATTTTTATGTCACCTGGGCACGTTCGAGTAAGAGAAGGCCCTTTGGGGTAGGGAGCCTTCATGTGCGCACATGGAGGCACCCTACTTTGGGGTAGCTGGCGCACCAGCCACTTCCCAAGCTCCGATGGTCAAGGTGTTGAGAGACATCAAGTACAAATTCTTCATGGCTTTTCCGGGTGATGTGTTAATTTACTCTGGCTCCTTCGAACACCTCCTGGGCCACATTAAGGAAATGTTGCACAGGATTGAGCAGGGTGAACTCTCAATCAATCCCAGCAAGACCCAACTGTACCAAGGGAATGTCGTCCAGATCCAGAGAAGGTTGCAGCCGCGAGAGACTTCCCACCCCCCAGGCAGTCAAGTAGCTGCAAGCACTCTTGGGTCAGCAGGAGATTATTGCATTTTTATCCCTAGATTTTCAGAGGTAGTGAGACCCCCTACCTTCGCTGCGAAAGGACGTTAGACGGGCGCGGGAAAACCAGCAGCGAACGGCTTTCATTGATCTACGAGATCTTCTTGAGGACAACCTGTAGTCCTAAACAGACCGTTTGTCGTCGAGACCGATGCA